TGATCATAGAGGTCATATCTCTTGCCACCCTTATGATCCAGATTGCATAGGACTGCTTTTTCTCTGCCCCAAAATGCTCTTGGACTTAATCTTGGCCACCAAATGCTCTACCAGCAACTGGAAAATCTTGTGGGAAAGAGAACTGTCAGTGTGGAAATTCTGACCCTCCATGGATTTAGTTGGTTGTTCTGTGCTTTGAAATATTGTAAGCTGTATGGCCTTGCACTAGCTTGGAAAGCACTGGTAAAAGATAGGGGTGTCTAGAATTCACATCAGTATCTTTGATGTTAGAGCAATATTTCAGGCTTTTACAAAACTGTATTATTGTATTAATTTATAGTGCACATGAATTTGATGTTAACAGGCATTCATGCTCAACATTGCCTTCCATGACATTTGTTTGCAATGTTTTATTTTGAGCTTCTGCATTTTGCAGAGCAGCTGTGGCCTGGCCTTAAATTTCACAGAAATGAGCAGCATCAATTTTACGTTGTTTTGTGGTTTACTCTGGAAAAAGAGATAGTGGTGGGGATTAAATCAAGTGCTTAAAAATAAGCAAGTGCTTAAACGCTTTGTTGGATCTGAACCAGGATAATAAACCTTGGAAATGTGCATGTTTCACTGAGGATCAGTACAGAAAGTCCTATTTTAGTTAATTAAAAAATGATCTTGGATTCTTTGTTTTATGACAAGATTCCTAGCACTGTTCATCTGTACTGAATCATCTTTTAATGCATGCATCCATGTGGTTTCAATATGACACTCCTAGTATTTATCTAGTTCATTATCCCTGTACTATTCAAATGGTGCCTCATATGGCCTTTATTTCACAGCGTCTGTACTACCAAGCTGCAGTAGAAAGACAAGGCATGCCAAAATGAAAAATAAAACAAAGATTTTTAATTGCGCACTTCTCCCTATTTCCTTGCCCCAGACAAGGTTTATCTGAAGCCCCTTGTTAACACTCCAGCTAACCCAGGAATTGGTTTGCATTTTCACAGGCTGACTGGTAATAGTGAAGTGCAAGCCAATTTAAGATATTTTTTGATAGTTGGATGCTGAATTATAGGATTTCAAATTGCAGGCGGTGTTCTCTAAAATACCGGCCAAATAGGTTAATCTTATCTAACTTGATAGAACCTACAAGGTTGGGAGGCTTTTTTAGGTCTGAAAAAGGTCATAATAAGGAAAAAAATGCTTTTGCAGCAATAAGACATGGCCATGTCAGTAGGAGCTTCTTAATTATTTTAGGACTCCGTTTTGTAAAGAGCAGAATAGCCTTATTCAGCCCTAAGACTGAACTTAAACTATACGCTGAGGTGCACACCTGAAATCTGGGACATCATTTTCACTGACATCTGTGTTCCTGTTCATAACTTTACTTTTAAGTATGTGAGTGAGAGAAAGTCTTGGCACATCAGGCTTTGCCTTCTGAAAGACAGAGCCCTTGGTACTGTGAAAAGAGGGAGTGACAACACCATGCCCCAGCCAATATTCCTCTGTCTCTGCAACAATGGTGGTTCAATCTGCTATTGCTGAGCACAAAATTTGGCCCTCCAAGAACTACCTAGAAAAAGTAGGGCACTACGTGTGTTTTGGCATACTATGCTCCACTTAAACAGCAATTTGAGTCAATATTCTGATATTGGTGCTCTGAATTATATAAATATCTCTCTACTAATAGTTGTATTTTAATAAACCTGTTGACACAAAGGCACTGCTTAAGAGGAATGGTTCCTGTGCTTAAAAATAGGCATAGTTTTAAAGTTCGACTCAGATAGTAGCCACTGGCCAAAATGAAGCATTTTACCTCCAGACCCACTTTATAAAAAATCTAGAGATGAATATTGCTGTGATTCTAACTGGTAATTGGGCCTAACAATCCTCTTTTGTTCCACAGGGACATTATCTTCTGTAAAGTGGTGCACTGTCAAGTGAGTCTAGCATACCATCTCCCACAAGCTTTCATATGATAATCAAGGCTGCCTATCATTAGCCACATTTGCCCTTCTTACTTTGTAGGTCAAGTGTTGCATTTAAGCATTCAGTAAATAATAGTGCCCTTTGATAAGCGTATCAAAGACAATGAAAGACTTTACATTCGTTCCCTTGACCATATTCTGGGAGAGAAGATAACTGTGAAATCTATGAAAAAATTTATAGGGCATATGTCAAGCTTCATAAAATCAAGTTTCCTTTGGGAGAGAGGGTTGGGAGGAATTTTTTAGAGGCAAGCTGATCTTGGGCCAGCTTTGTGCAAAAACTAGAACTGTCAGTAGGACTTCAAGTGCAAAGACAGTATTTTATTTCACTCATAAAGATCATCAAACTAAAACATGTATTATAAAGTATGAGAAAATAATTATGCCAGAAAGGTAAAAATGTGCAATCACAGAACTTACTGGCACTGCTGAGGAAGGTGTAGACTGGCAGCCAAATTGCAGAGGGCATGGCCCAATGTTAAGTCAGTGCATGAAGTCAGGAGACTGTTTCTCCCCATGGCATCTGAGTTTCTGTGTCACATTGAACTCTGGGAAGAAAGCCAGGAAAATTTTCTTAAACACAGGAGGGCACCCAGCTTTTGTTGCCTTTGAAAATCAACCCTAAGTGCAGAAAACTTTTATGAAAGAAGGAGAACTAAAAGACACTTTGTGGCAGGCGGACCCAGAGCCTTCACACCTTCCTCCTGGCTGCGTCCCTCCAGCGGCAACCAAAGCAAAGCATGAGCAGCAGTGACCAGTGAGGACTTAAAAAAATGGAGCACTGCAGGCCTCTCAGTAAGTCACTGTTGTAAAAGGCTGTTTGTCCTTTCCATTGGGAGTTTTGTAAAGCATACACAGAAATCTCTATTTTGCAAGAGCAAAGCTTTAAATTGTCCCCAATTACTGTGTCCCAACAGCTCCTTTCTGTTTTGCACCCCCTCAATGCCCAACATTAGCTCTTGGATACTGGAAAAACAGGCTCATTTACCCCACCCAGCTGGGTAATTTCTCCTCTCCATACTTTTTCAAAGAGAAATATGTGATAATCTGAACTAATTCATGCACAACTTCCTCATGAATTTGAGCCTCTGGCTTCTGCAGTCATTCCTCTGCAAATGCCTCAGAGGATTATCCTGGATTCAATATTCTGAACAAATAAACACCTACAAACAGGAATAAACATTTCAGGTTTTAATTAAAAGGTCTTTTTTTGGATGGCAGTATGTGATTCTCCCTTGAAAGCTTGTTCTATTTTTTCTTTTTCTCTCTCTTTTTTCCTTTCTGCTTGCCCTGCAAGTTGTTCTGTCTTGATGGGACAGTTTGAGTGTCTACATAACAAAGTATGAGAGAGAGAGAGACAGTGGTTGTGAAATCGAGTTGCAAACAGAATTGTAATCTCATACATCAGTTCAAATCAACTTCTATTAGGGGACCTGAAAAGAGGTACAGACTATTACATACCTGCCTACAGTAAAGCTCTGATGCATCCTACTGATGTATTTGCTGCTGACCACTGTTATAGGGCAAGATGGGCCACAAATCACATTAAGACAATTCTACCATTTCTAGATCCCTATACATCTATCACTTCTTGCTCAGTGATCCTTCAGCTGGGAATCACTGTCTATAAGAAAGTTCTTCTTGCTTGTGACTATTCTTTCAAACTGAAAATGGATGGTAATTGAAGATCACTGAAAATAGATTTAAGAAGATATTGAACAGCTTGCATGAAACAGGAAAACCTGTACCAGGCATTGCATTTTTTTCAAGTTCATGGAGATGAAAATTCGAATAGTAAAAAAAGAAAAAAATTGTTAAAATGCAGGCTCACAGTGGTGAGAAGGTTGGGGAGGAAGGATGGCTGGGGAAAATCAGAGATGAAGTATTTCTCACTTCCCTCCTTCTCAAGTGGCCCAGAAAACAGGGGAAGGAGGTAATGTGTTGCTCTCACAGTCTCTTCCCCCAAAACCCTCCTGCTGCTCTAATGTAAACTGGAGGAGGTGCGAGTGAGGGTGATTTCCATGGTCTACTGCAAGGTTCCTTAAAAAAGCACATGTGAGTGTTCAGCCTGTCTATTAGACAGTGATGCAAGTAGTACAAACACTGGAGAACAATTTTTATGTACTCTGATACAGCCTCAGAGATAAAAGGATTAAATCCCACTTGTCCTAGCATATGTTACTTCAAGGAGTCAGCCTAAAAGATTAACCATTAGAAACAGAAATGTAGTGTACCAGAAGAAAAGAAAAAGAATTTAAGATTTGCCACACCACATCAGCTCCTTTTGGATCATCAGTGGCATCAGGTATCTTGCAACCAGTAGTCATAAAGCTGCTCGGAGAGAAGCGCCTCGGAAGCCGTAGAATGATGTACATATTACCTTTGCCTGCAGAGATCAGGATGAAGCCAGAGGCATGAGATTAGCTGAGGCTTCTCCTGACTCCCCTATCTCTCAGCAATAGAGCAATTCCACTCCTTTTAACGTGCACACACAGCGTTTGACTTGACCTTTGGCAGGCTGGAATTCTGCTGGCAGCTTATACGCTCTCCAAAGCAATATAGCTGTTCATTTACTCCATATTTGCCAGTTATTAATTTAGAGCAGCCACTTCAGTCTCATATTATGGGGCAGAGCCAGAGAGACAAATGGCTCTCATTAAGCAAAGTCATTGATTTTTAACGCCAGTCATGACCGCCTGCTTTGGCCTCTTGCACAAAACCACGGGCAGAGTTTCAGTCTGCTTTTTGTGTGTCACCTCTCTTTTGCCCGCTTTGGAAAAGGACAAACTTCTTCTCACCCTCTCTTCTTTCCAGTCTAAGCATCCCGCACTTTTGCCAGCCCCCCAGATCTCCTTCACGGGAGCTGCTGCGAAAGCCTTTGCAGGGGTTGCATTGTGTGGGTGCTGGGAGCAGTGCTGGTGTGTAACAGGAGCAGGCCCCCCCCGCCCCAAATCCCAGCTCTGCCCCAGGGCTGCGTGCCCTCACAAGTGCACACCTCATCACCACGCACACCGCGAGGGCTTGTGCCATCCCCTGCAATGTGCCCTTTGAAATCAAGGCAAACGAGCGCTGAAGCTGTCCTTTTGTGAGAAGCAGTTGGCCATCTGGCTCTTTGTGTTAATACCCAGCAGAGCCAAAAACCAGGTAAATGAAAAACCTGTGGGGTTTCATAAGCCTGGAAAAAAATCTGGTCTTGGCAAAACCAGTCATTAGCCATGTCCTTTGACTTCCTTCCTCTTGTGGTAGCTTCTCAGTGGCTTGCTTGCATCCTCCCCCAACACTGATCATTTGTTACAAATTCTTAGATGGTCTGACAGCCTTACTGGTGGGATAATCCCTTCCTTATCTTCCCTTGGACCTTGTGTTGCTAACAACCTAGTCCTCCCTTTCAAAGTCTTACATACTTCTGCCTACTTCCCTCCTAAGCTGTAAGTCTGCTTAATCTCTTTCCAGAGTTTATACCTCAGAAACTTTAATTCTTTCAAGTATTGCAACGTCCGCTTCCTAAATCTCACCATAAAGAACTTGATCTCACACAATACATGTATAGGAAAGGAAAAAATGCTAAGCAGTAAATGAATACCAAGGGAATATAATATTGCATTAATGAGAGCTGCTGAGCAGCTTCCAGTTTGCTTCTGCCTCCTGACAGGAATAAGGTCAAAACAAGGACATTTTTCATTCATGTACCTTATTTGAATGTTGAGTACCCTCAAGCTCACAGTATTTCTCAGATACTCTCAGATATTTCTGCATGTCTGATGTAAGTCTGTTTTTTAATTATTTTTTATTTATTGCATAGCTGTAAAGTAAGTAAGTAAGAAATCATATGAGGGTTTGAGATATCTCTTTGCTTATGGCCCAAATATAAAGCTCATTAAGTTGGCCATGATAGCTCAAACAAAAGGGCCACTCAATCAGTCTGTTGCCCTGCCTCCAACAAGAGGCAGCAGCAGATGCTGAGGATAAATACATCAGAAAAAGCCCATGCAGCTTGCACAGCGTGTCTTTCTGCCTATCAGGCAGAACTTCAGGGAACTTCAAGAAAAACATTGGGAATTTATTTTTACTCTTGTGAACAATAGTTCTTGAAGGATCTTTTTCCACACATACAGAAATAATGTTTTAACATGCAGCATTTAATCATTTTAACCCACTAATATCTTTCACATCTGAAGCATCCTGTGAAAGCGAGTTCCATAGTTGAAATATGCATTGTCTGAAAAAGCACATTCTCCTACCTCGCCTAACTGCTGTCCCTGGTAACTTCACTTAGATTCTCTTGGTTTGTGTCTTTAAAAATGTAATGAAAACCTCTCCTCTGTTCACCTCCACTTCAACTCTGTTTCCCTCCGCTGTACGTTTTCTAATCTGAAGAGTCCTCATCCGTTTAACTGCTCTTTGCAGAGCCCATTACACACCTTTCTCCGTGGCTCATCTAGTTCTGAGTTGACCAAATCTGCATGCGACGTGACAAATAGAGAGTCACAACTGGCATGCTCAGTGGCACGTTCAGTGCTCCCTTCCTAATAATTGCCGGGCCTCTGTTTGCACCCACAACCTCTGCCTCGTGGAAGCTGGTGCTGTCCCTGAACTGCCCACGGAGACTCCAGCCCTTCTGCCCTCGGCAGTGCTGGTGTGTTGGTGTGGGTGCTGCTGGCTGGTTTTCTCCCTACGTGTTCCTTTGCATGTGTTGATAAGGAATTCTATGGGCCATTTTTCCAAAGTACTCAATACTTTGAGATCCTTTTGCAATTCTTCATGATTCTTCTTCATTTTTATTACCCCGAATAATTTTGTATCATCTGTAAGTTTTGCACGTGCATTTACCTCCCTTTCCTGAGAGATCTGGAAACATACTAAGCAGATCTAGTAATCTCCTTCCACTGTGAAAACTGGCCTTGTCCTTCGTTTCCTATTATAAACAGTTATTGATCTGTATGAATACCTTCTCTTCTATCCCATGATGCTTCATCAAAGCCCTTTGAAACTGAAAAGCAGAGTGGCTCACTCGTTTCGATCCCCATGTTCCTTAACTCTTTCAGAGACACATGGCTTTTCTCAGCAAAAACTAGACAACTTTTCCTCAAGACACTGTACAATACCCTCCTTTCCTTCTTCCAGCTGGGATTACTTAGCTATATCCTAGCTCCAGCCAGCAGCTCGGTATGGAATTCTACCAGGGTGGCCCCTTCCTGTATCCCCATGGAACATTTTCTTCAATGCTGGCATGTGTCACCTTCTCCGTCCCTGGCCTCTCACCCTCCCAGTCAGCAGACTCTCAAAACACTTGGCCGCCTGATGACGGTTCTGCAAGTAACTTTTCAGCAATTACACTGTCTTTTCTTTGTTTGGACACAGCGCACACCTTTATGGAAGGCATATTTCTATTTCTAACAGCTTTCTTCATTCAGTTGTTTATCTGTTCTAAGCTATTTCTTTTCATCTTATTTGGTTTTATGTGTATTTTAAGCCTCTAATCAGATAATTTAGACATTCTCCATAACACCACTGAAGCATTTACCCTGATTGTCCCTTTAATTTATATATAGAAAGCAGGCTTATTCTAATATTGTTCTCCTTTTGAAACAAAATGTGGTAGGCTCTTGGCTCTTCCATTTCTACAAGAATATTGAATTTGAAATGTTATAACCAATATAACAAGCATCTTTGTGACAGTTACAACTTGAACTACCCCTGCTCAACACTGAAGCAAGATTTGCTTCTTTTTCTCTCATCAAGTATCAGGCAAAGTGCTAAAAGAAACCAGCATCTATGGTACCTAAAATGTAGTCTCAGCACTGTGCTCCATTATGCAATTTATTCAGCCTTAATGGGAGCAGCTGAAATCTTCCATTATTATTCTGTTTTCTGTCTTTACAGCCCCTGTGACTTTGTTTAGAGGTGAATGTCGCCATCCTGGTCAAGGGCTTGTTTGTATACCTGAATCCTCTGTTCTTCCTACTTGGGCAAGGAACGTCAGGGCATTGAGTTTCTGTGATATTTAATGAAACAGTTAAGATTTCTGATCCAATGCAGTATTTTCTTCTGCATTTGCAGTGGGTGTTCTTTTCTCCGGATTGTACCATAATAAAAGACCATTCAACTGTACAATTTTTCTTAACTGCTGTCAACATACAATGCACTGCAGGTCAGCAAAGGTGAGTTACTACCTGCAGCCACTGCATGAACAAATCCCGCAGTTGTTGAATCCAGCACAGAGGCTCACGCTGAGCCCTTAGTCTCATCTCTTACCCACATCTGACCTGGAGAGCACCAGTTCTTTTCCCATGCATTCCACAAACACCAGCCAAGGGTGGCCGGAGCAAACACTGAAAACTATCGGGTGTATGCAACGTGGTTACTATCACAGCATCCTTTCGAAATAACGTCAGACTACACGCAGATGCAGAGGTGGTGGGGGTGTTACTTTGATCTTCTTTTCAAGGACAGGCTGATTTCCCTTTTAAAATGCCACTGCTTAGGCTGGTGAAGGCAGAGCACATAGCTGACTTTGCAGTGACTTTGGGAGCGTGCAGGTCAAATTTCTGCAGCGCTGTGTGCACACAGCGCACAACATAGCAGCAGTCATTATGAATGGGAGCCCAAACCTAGTTACTGGCTCCCCAAGAGAAAACCACATACCCGTCATACCTACAGCAGCTGCTGCTTTTTGGCAAAGGTACAAATAGTAAAAACAGTCCCAGAGAGGTGCTAAGAGCAAAGAATCGATCTTTATCGCTGCCTCAGCTCGGGGAAGGAATAAACAGACTGTAATAAGTGTCAGATTTCTACAACTGCTCTTTCTCCGTGGGGAATAAGCCTATCCACTCCTTGCCAGCTAAGCAGAGGTCAGGGCCATGCCAGAGGAAGTAGCTACCATTAGCAGACATGAAGAACAGATCTGGCGTGTCCGTGGGATCTGTGTGAACTAAGCGACTGGTTGAAATAAGAGCAGCTAACCACTATTGCAGCTGATGCAGATCCTCAAGTATTTTGGTTTCTTAGCAGGAAAGCAATATGTTTCCAACTTCCAGACAAATTGTAGTTAGCCTGAAAGTGCCAGTCTGTCCTTGGACAAATGCACGGTATTGGAGCTGCTGCAGTGCCACACATTTCAGCTGTGGCATGAGCCGTCACCCAGTGCCCGTCACGCTGCTGAAGCTCATCGAGCTCGGGGCTCGCCCAGCCTGGTGGGGCTGCTGTGTCCATGCATGGGACTTGATCCTCCTCGCTCAGTGCCTCTCTGAGCAGCCACTGCAAGTTGCTTGAACGCACAAAGATTCTAGAAGCAGCAAATACAGACCAAAGTACCCACAGAAGAAGTTTATTCCTGGAGGTTGGTTTATGCCCAGCAGAAAGCGGGTTTGAATTCTTTCAAACTTTATTTTAATCCTGTCTAACGTGACTATGAATATCTCCTTTGCCAGTCTTGGTGTATAACCATTTTTCCAGCCAAGCTCGGCTGCTGGCTGCTCAGCCATCCTATGGAGACGAACTCCACAGGCTGTGCACGCACCACTCAGAAGGGCTCCTTTGCATCTTGCTTACTTGCTGCTTTGCCTTTCAGCTAGCGCTCTCTGTCGTGACATGTGTTATCGGCCGTGACTAACAATACTGGTTTCAACAGCCCTGATGCTGAGGAGGGGCAAAATACAATCCTGAGCTCCCCATGCATTGCCAGGCCTGGTTTCGCTGAGGTGCAGGGCTAGCTGGCCTGGCAGGGAAAAACACCTGCTTGAGAAGCCAGTTCTCCTCTTCTTTGCTCCCCCCTCGTGTGTAGACACCCCACAGAATATGGCCAGGGCATTTCTTCAGAGCAACGTTTGTCTTGTCAGCAGCAAGCGTATTAAACTTTGCTGTCATCCAAGTCAGAAAAAAAAGAAAAAAAGCCTCTCTACAGCTGTTGTTAGGTGCAGCGGCTGTGTTATCACTGTGTGCCACTTGACTATGCATAACAGTGTTAGGCCATTACACAATGTGGTCTTGATTCTCCAGAATAAAATCACCACTCTGTCAGGTTACTCCCACTGTGGAAGTGAAGCTCTTTATATTTTTCCTTAAAATAAAACAAACAAAATTCTGGGTCAGCTCCAGAAAATATTATTGAATTGAAATCTGTGGTACAAAGAAATCTAGGGTTTGCTCAAATCCGCTCTGTTGACTCAAGGTACAGGGGTTTTTTTTCCCCCTTTCAGTTGGTCCTTTCCAGTCTCTGTCCACAGCACGTTTTTCTTTTCTACCTTTACCAGTATTGTCACACAGGAATCCTACAAGAATCCGACAGGATTTTGCAGCATGACACACACTTGTGCACACAGGACCCTATTTTTAAAAGTAACTTTAAGACCGCCCAGTGCAAATGTCCTGAGGAAACTCCCATCTGTCATTTTGCAGAAACAAGGAACAATTTATAACGGCTGTGTCCAAGGATCTGAAGACACAGTTCATCCACGGGTACCTCTTTGCTCTTGTGCTGATCATCTGCTAACCCACAACCTCCCCACGCAGCAACCTCTTGCTAACACATCTTGCTTATGAACAAAAGGAGGGTGGAGGGGTATTTTTTTTGTTTTCTAATAACCAGGAATGATGCAGAAATGTGGTGAGGTTTTGTTTCTTTTTTTTTTTTTTTTCTCTTGCTATCAAGGTGGTTACAAAGACAGCAATTCATGTCTGAATTTGTTTTTGTGGGCTAGCAACTCCAGCATTTAGATCACCTGTGGTGTGGTGTGGTGTGATATGAAGGAGGCAAAAATCAGGCCTGCTTTCTTCATTTATACCTCAGCAATCTCATTTATATGGAGCAGAGAGCTGGAATAGCAAACCTGCGTCAGTGTGGCAGGTTGATTTATAAAGTGACATAAACACACAGTGCCGCTCCGAGGCTGAAGATTACTTTGGTTTGCTGCCCCGCTTCCATTAGCATTACGTCACTTGAGAATTATTTAGTCAGAGTTCCCTTTCATGCACAGATGTGCAGTCAGAGCTCACTTCCCCTGTTCCGTGTGTGCTGGCACTGCCCATCAGTGCCACCCACCACTCGCTCGCAGGGTGCCGGGCAGGGGTGATGCCCTGGGCAGGGATGATGCCCTGGGGTGATGCTGACTGCTGCACACACTGCTTGCAGAGCATGGGTGGTCCTCTGGGGCTTGGGCCCACACAAACCTAACGCCCCTGAAAATCACCTTGTTCTTTCAGGTAGTCTCACCTGAATTCATGGACTATCTAAATTTACAGCAAGAAAAGCCATCCTTTCAAAGACAACATCTTTTTTTTTTTTTTTTTTTTTTTTTTTTTTTTTCTGTCTCTTGGTCCTGAGTGAAATTTTCCCTGGTGGGATCAGAGGACGTGCCATGGCTTTGACATCTAGCATGAACTGGGGTATAAATCTCCTCATCTCCTTGACATTTTTGACTGTAACTGGTAAGATTTCTCTGTGTCCTTCCAAGTTGATATTCTCCTAGTGGGCAAAATGAATCTTTCCTATACAAACAGCATTGCTAAAATCACAGCCGTGATGCCCCAGGAGCCAAATTCAGATCTCCATTTAGGTGCTGTTTGTTAGTATAACCACACCATTTCCACCACATCTTTCTTAAGTTTGTGCTAGTAATTACAGCTTCATGGTGCTGGCTATCAGAGCATCTTGCACATCAACTCTATAGGTTGTGAACCCCAGCTCTTAAAAACACCATTGCCTTACTAGGTTGAAAATACATAATGTTTAGGATTTAGTCCTGCATCTTCTGAAGTCAATGGAAGTTCTGCTCTAGAACAGAGCACAGCTTTTCTAATCAAACATTTTTAAAGACAATCCCATTGAAATCATTCCTTTTCACAGGAATG